TTTCGTGATCAGCGCACCAAAAACTGCAGGAAACTATGTAAAACTCGATGTAAAAATTTTGGTCGGAAATTAGTAAATATTTGGAAAAGTAAAGGTCTGAGATGAAATTGGAAGTCATTTTCGTGATCAGCACACCAAAAACTGCAGGAAACTATGTAAAGCTCGATGTAAAAATTTTGGTCAGAAATTTGTAAATATTTGGAAAAGTAAAGGTCTGAGATGAAATTGGAAGTCATTTTCGTGACCAGCACACCAAAAACTGCAGGAAACTATGTCGACGTGTCCTACATGAACTCGCGTATCTCCACCAGATCGATAGAACCATCGTATTTCCCGGACGCCCGTAGAACTACCGTACTCGGCCAGCGCAGATAGAAGAGACGTATTTCGTGGACGTCGCTAGAACTGCCGTAAATCGGGAGATCTCGCAAGACTATTGTATCGCTTTTTCGGCGTGTTTCTAGGAGATTGAATTGAAAGTTTCAGAATGTCTTACAATTCGGAAAATGAAAGGCGATTGACATTGGGATGTCAGGTGAATGCCCTATGCTCTGCCCTTCCAATCAACTACAGTTTTTTTGTGATTATACCGCTACTCTCGTTCGATGAGCCGTGGAAATGTGAAGGAGCGGTTATGGTGGTCGCCAAACAGTATCTTTTTTCCTTTCAGTTCAAAAGGTGAAATGATTTTTGGACACGTTTGACGAGTTCTGCAAAAAGTTTTGCTAGATTAAGAAACAATATGGGTTGCCTGATTTTAAAACTTTTGTTTTCCAGGTTACAGTGTGTTCTGCTTGGGGAAAAGATTGCCAAACAACCTCAGGGCATTCAAGAATTAATGCATTATTGTTGTTATTGTGTGGATGGATCCATTGAATTATTTATCTTTTGCGAGGCTTTTACTTTCTCTGGCTTAGAACATAAAGGTTTCTTCAAGTAAAATAAATTTTATTTTTAAAATACTTTTTATTATTTTCAAGAACAATGGTTAAATGATTAAGGGTTCTGGCATGTCAGTCTCAATTGAAGCGTTGAAGTAAAGCATGCAATAAAACTACGGTACAAACAAAAGCAAATTATTCGTTATAAGTCATGTCTAAACTTAATGGACGAGAAATGCAAATCACATGTCAAGTATTATGACAAAAAATTAAAGCGTTATAAAACTTCAGTACAAAGAAAAAAGAAAATTATTCATAATCAGCGTCATGTCTCAAAGTAAAGGACAAGAAGTACAAATCACGTGTCAAGTATCATGACATAATATTAAAGCATGCCAACATGCTAACTAAACTAAAAAACTATTCATAATTAGTCATGTCTTAAAGTAATGGACAAGAAATGCAAATCACATGTCAAGTATCATGACATAAAAACTTGGACATCACATATCTATACAAATGTATGATGTGAAATTGACAAGAATATTTATCACATTATGTTCCATCATCCATGCCAGGATCATCACAATCCTCTTCGCTCTCTTCGCCATTTTGGTCAGTATTGCGCTTTGGTTTCTTCTTTGGCTGTGGTGCTTGTCCTTGAGCCGCCTTCCTTTTCCTTGGAGGCGCCCTTGGCTCGGGGTCAAAGGGCAAAGCTCGATAAAAATCATGGTGCTCAAGTGGAATAACATTTTTCTCACACAGGGTTATCAAGTCTTTACGTTTCTCAAAAGTAATTGGTAGCAGTCCAGAGTAAGCTTTCTTGAGGGAATGGGTATTGAAATTAATTGGACGGCCAACTTTCTTGGTGTTCAGCTTCTCTCCATCATCATCATACTCAAGGTGATAGGTCAAAACTCCTGGCTCAGTGCCACAAGCTGAAATCATTCTTATTTTTGACCATGGAACCTTCACACGGTTAACATTCATTTCCCAGTTCTGCTTGCTGACCAGATCTTTAAAGTCAAGAACCATGTCTTGGGTTACCTCAACAACCAAGAATGGATTGGTCTTGACACGTCGCTTAGCAGTTTTAATCATGCCAATCCATTGCTGCAATGTAAAGATGTCAACACCTCTGGTTCTCCTTTCTATGGCACTGTGCATTGTGTCACCTTCTGAGTATGTATGACCCTTTTCTAGAAATACATGTTTGACACTCACATTAAATTTTGCAGCGGCCAAAACATACATAGCAAATACAAACCTATTGCGGTTCTGACTCGGGCAGTTGTCACTATAAAAAATAAACTCCTTTACTCCTTTTGCTACTTTTCCTTCAATGTATTTGAAGACAAAACTTCCTACTTCATTGGCTCCTTTCCCAGCAGTAGTTTCATCATAGACAAAATTTGTTCCTTCGCAGTGTCCAATATCAAATATTGTAAAATTGTAGACACCTAATTTTCTTGCATAATAAAATAAGGATGCTTTTCCTTGAGGAGTTTGCAGGATTTTTTCATAATCAAATGAAGCTACGCACAAGTTTATTTTGTTTTCTTTCTGCTGTGCACGAAGAGCATCTGCTTCTTTTAGTTCCTGGGCTTTTGTCTTATTGTAAATATGTGCATCAAAGATCAATTTATCTTCATCTGTGACCTCACCTGATCTATTTTCAAAGCTTACGCAGGTGTCACATAGGTCCTTTTTTGGGACAAAGAAACCAAGATTAAACTTGCTATTAAATATATCTCGGTATTGCCTTTCTGTTGCAGGTTTTTCACATACTCTCCCATTTGAAATTTCTTCAGTGAGCCACTCCTTGTATAGATCATACAATTTAGAAATAGAACATCCCTCTGGTAAGTATTCTCTTGTTGTATCCTTCCTTAGATAGTGACTTTCAACTCTGGGAATAGCGTTTACATGATCCATCACACTTTGGGTAATTTCTGGCTTGATAATTGTAACACCTTTCCTGTTTTTCCCTCTTTTGTCAGGGGAAATGGCACTGCCATCTCCCAATTTCTTCTTGGCTGTTTCAATGAGAGAATCAGAAATGTTTAAAGTTGTTAAAAACATTGTCTTGCACACTTTTATGTTTTCATTATTAACTCGAAAGGAATAAGTTCTTGATGTTCTTTTTCTTGTTACCACCTCGGTGTTTGATGCTTTTGGGCTTACAGTCATGCAGCCTCTGATGAAATACCACTGCCTGTCATGACCATTCGGTGCTGCACCTAGACTCCAATATTTGTCAAAAATTGATTGGCGCTCAGTTTCAGTAATTCTAGTTCGGCATTTGAAGCGGCAACTGACATTACAGGCTTCTTCCATTTTACGAGCTGGTTTCAAAGCACCTTTAGAATCTATGTATTCTTTTCCAGAATTGTATGCCACTTTACGAACATTAGCTTGCCAATTCTCAGGATTTCTGGTCCTCTTCCTTCCAACTTTTTCTTTATATATGTTCTTCCTTGTTCTTCTTTTTTCAGTCTCTTGTTCATATGTGGGGTCACTAATGTCAGCCAAATTTCCACTGTCTTCAGTCTCATGTTCATATGAGGGGTCAATGTCAGCCAAATTTCCACTCTCTTCTGTCTCAACATCCCAAACATTTTCTGGCTCAGCTGATCCATCCAAAGGAATGACAAGTACATCATCTGACAATATTATATTTTGAACTGAAAAATAATAAAATGAATTAGTTTTGAAGTTGTTTTATTTTAATTGATATTTAGAGAGAAGAAAATCCTCACCATCACCATTAGTTGAGACACCCAGCAAATCTAATGGTTCTTCAGCAATGGCAGCGTTCAAAGAATCACCCGTTGAATTAAAATAATCTGCAAGGAAACAATTTAATGAAAACAATACAAAATCTACCTGTTTTTAATGTTTGAAACATTTCAGAGACACATACCAAACATCGGTTTCCCAGGAGTTGAAGTGGCAGTGAATGCATTTGCATCAAATGAGCTGCTTGCTATGTTGAAAATGACAGGATCATTACCAATGCCAATGACTTCAGAAAATGTAAAACTCTCAGAAGCAGCTGAAGATTTATTATTATTGCCTGGTAAATAAAGAACTAGCTCATAAAACAAAACAAGAACACAAATTCATTTATTTTTTCAAACTTAAAAGCAAGTCCCCAACAGAAACAATGGGACAGACATACTGTTCCTGTAGAATACACACCATTCAAAAATTCTGGTGAAGTGACATTTTGGACAGCAACTGAAATTAGTGGAGTGGTCTCTCTGTCTGCAAAAGAAGTTTGCTTGTCCGAGTCATTCACTTCCTCGTTGCTTTCTGGGCAAGAATGTTGAAAGGCGGCTTCTGTGAATGTAGAAAACAAGTATAGTTATTAATTAAATTCTGAAACACAATGAAAATTAGATCAATAAGAATAGTGGTTAACAGAAAACAAATTACCATTCAGTGGCTTTAGTTCAACTGCAGGAGGAGCTGAAGTTGCTGGCACACTGCTTATCTCAGAACAAGTCTGCTTAGACTTCTCTTCTTTGTTGGTTACTGGGCTTGGAGGTTTAACAGCGGCTTCTTTAAAAATAGAAAATAAAAATTATCAATGAGCTTATTTTAAAATACTAACTATAATTGAATGAACAAGTTTGGTTGTATAACAGTTAAAAAATAACCTAATGGCTCAGGTACAGGTAAACTTGGAGACGGAACTGCATTTTGGGGATCGCACTTATGTTCTGTATGAGAAGTTTCATTGACTGAGTCTTCTGCTTTCTTTGTAATTGTTGGACATGGCTGTTCAGAGGCAGCTTCTGTAAAGGAAGAAAACAGAGGTTATTACAAATTAGATTTGACATTGAATTTGTAAGTAAGGTTCTGGAAAGCAGTAAACAAATTATACCTTTCAATGGTTCAGGTACAGTCAAGCTAGCAGGAACTAAAGTTGCGAGCACATTGGTAATCTCAGAACATGCCGGCTTAGAAGTCGCTTCCTCGCTGTTTATTGGGCTTGGAAGTTTAACAGCGGCTTCTTTAAAAATAGACAACAAAATTTATCAATGAGCTAATTTTAAAGTATAAACTATTATTGAATCAACATGGTGGCATAACAGTAAAAAAATGACCTAATGGCTCAGGCTCAGGTACAGGTGAACTTGGAGAGGGAACTGCATTTTGGGGATCAGACTTATTATCTGTAAGAGTAGTTTGATTGACTGAGTCTTCTACTTCCTTTGTGAATGTTGGACATGGCTGTTTAGAGGCAGCTTCTGCAAAGGAAGAAAACAGAAAGGTTATTACAAATTACATTGAATTTAAGTAAGATTCTTGAAGGAGTAAACAAATTATACCTTTCAATGAATCAGGTACAGTGGAGCTAGCAGGAACTAAAGTTGCGAGCACACTGGTAATCTCAGAACAAGTCTGCCTAGAATTGATTCCTTGTTGGTCTCTTGGCTTGGAGGCTTAACAGCGGCTTCTGTTAAAATGAAAAACAAAAAATATTAATAAGTTAATTCATAAATATTATTAAGGTGTTACTACAGCTCACTGGTCATTTGACTAAGTGGCGTAAGTCCACCAGGAGTTGGAGTCTTTTTTTGTAAAAATGTTTCGGTGCAGCCACTAATCAGGAACGCCTTCAGAATCATTGCAGAGTTTGTTCTATATGTACATCTAGTCACTGTGCTTGGTATAGATATGGTCCCAATGATAAGTCATCAAATTTACCTTTAACCAAAGGCCTTTGACAGAAAATTTAGTTTCACTGTAATTATCTAAAAGGCATTTGTTATGAGGTAAATTTGATTACTTATCATGGGGACCGTACCAATACCAAGCACAGTGGCCAGATGTACATATAGAACAAAATCTGCAATGATTCTGAAGGCGTTCCTGATTAGTAGCTGCACCCAAAAATGTTTACAAAGAAAGAATCTGACTTCTGGTGGACTTACGCCACTTTGTCAAATGACCAGTGAGCTCATCTCTCATCACATTTTCACTCACTTACTTGAGACGAGTAATTTGTTTCATGGTATTAGGCTCTCACAAAAGTACAAGAAAATAATTAAATCTCGTACCTTTTTTCAGAGGAACACTCTTTGTTTTCTTGATACTCATGACCTAATACCATGAAAAAAATTACTCGTCTCATGTAAGTAGGTGAAATTGTGATGAGAGATAAGCTCAATTTAGTAGCACCTTATAATTGAATCAACAAGTATGGTGGTGACAAATTACCTTTCAAAGTCTTAGGTACAGTTAGATATGAAACTGAATTTTGTGGATCGGTCTTGCTTTTAGTACTAGCAGCTTCTGAAAACAAAGGGAAATGAATATTAGACTGTAACATAATTGAATTTGTCTGTTTCATCTTAAAATCTGCTCATTGTTGTTAGTGAGTTACCTTTGAATGGTTTAAGTGCAGAATTGCGACATGAAGTTGATACTGAAGTTGCTCGCTCAGTATTTTTAGAGCATGGCTTCAAGTCCGCTCCAACAAAGAGACGCCTCTTTAAAGTTTGTCTTCTTTCGACTACTTTAATCGCTGCATTCAAGAGATGAAGTAATCAATTACTTACATGGGTTTGTTTTTTTACACTAAATGGAACTTAATAGTTTTGAAAACGTTAAAAAACAAAAACATGGTGGAATGTTGTTCAGGACTGATTGTGCATTGAAACTTACCATCGTCACCCAAACACAAGGATGATTCATCACTTTGAGTGCTGCTGGCACTATGCTGCAGATTCCAGTCTTCACCTGACAAAACAAAAACATCAATGTAGTTTATTTTTTGGAAACAATGCCGATGTTTTGGTCTAGACCCAATGCCTTTCTTCAGAGGACGGAAAGGTAGTTCTTCAACACTAATAACATAAACAACATATCAGGTGCAACAAGACCAATGAAACAAAGATGAATGCGTATGGTTTGAAAGGGAAACTACACTGTGGCCAAAATCAGTGACAGGTGTTAACTTAAAAACAAAATAAAATAAGTTGAAGCTGGCAAGGAGGTTAGTTTGATTACCTGTGTGGTTCTCCCTCACAGGAGTCTGCATGGCGAAAGGATTTGCAGCGATTTCACTTTTTTTGCCCATCTGGGCCAAGAGTTTGGCTCGTCTTGACGCCATTGTGCCATGCCTTTTTTAACGCAATGTTCCAAACTTCAAACCGGTACGTCCGCCCACGCTCCACTCCACTCAACTCACGTTCGCGGTTCGCGTCTAGCGAGCTCGCGTGAGATACGTGCTTCCAATTGGGGGTACCCGCGTCAGTCGGGACATGGGCCCAATTTTCAATAAAACATTGAAGCACTTTTATAATTCATAGAAATGTAATTCGACATTCGTGTGAAAGCTAATTTTTTACTCTTCCGAATAGGTGAAAAATCTAAAAACCCCTAAAAAAGTTGTTACAATAGTCTTGCGAGATCTCCCGATTTACGGCAGTTCTAGCGACGTCCATGAAATACGTCTCTTCTATCTGCGCTGGCCGAGTACGGTAGTTCTACGGGCGTCCGGGAAATACGATGGTTCTATCGATCTGGTGGAGATACGCGAGTTCATGTAGGACACGTCGATGTAAAACTCGATGTAAAAATTTTGGTCCAAAATTGGTAAATATTTGGAAAAGTAAAGGTCTGGGATGACATTGGAAGTCATTTTTGTGATCAGCTCACCAAATACTGCAGAAAGCAATGAAACACCGAGGAAATTTTGGTCGCAAATCATGTAATTCTAGTCGAAAGCATGGGTCTTCAGTTGTTAGGTTTCTTAAGAGCGTTTCCTGTTCATAGTGTCATGCCACGAACCCTGACCCTGTTACTCAGTTGAGTAACATTCAACAGCCAGCATTGAATTGCTTAATACGATTCACAAATACTTCAATTACCATTCGATATCTCCTTGTTACTGAACTTATGAATACGCAATGTTATTAGTAATACCTAAATAGCCTTTCTCCCTTTTAGTTTAAACTAGTGGATTTAACTATATTGATTTATCTGCATTAATTAAAAAGAGACATATTTACAGGCAGGCTGATTTCAACTACTTTACGGAGAAGACCTTCTGTCAGATCCAATGAATCGTGTCATACAGGGTGAGTTTTCTCAATGTGTCAATAATTTGCAGGCAGTTTGGGCATCCCTAGGGGACCATTTTTCACCAATGAACTAGTGGGCGCAAACGTCTAGATACGGAGATAATTGGTGTTTTGAATTTGGATTTTGCGCCTACAAGGTAGGCACCCGGTGCCACTGAGTGTGGCAGGACCTGTCGAGGGGGTGTCGCGGGACTAGCAGTACTCGCGGGAGTGCCACTTACCTCGCGGAAGTATCCGTGGAATCCTGCCACCCTCGCAAAGACAGCCGTGAGATCCACTGTAACGGGGGCCACCATGACAGCCCCTTGAGACCCGCGGCAACCCCTCCCAAAAGACATTTGCAAGGTCCGCCGCACCCCTTCGAGACTCGAAGCACCCCTCCTAGACCCGCGACACCCCCACGTGAGGTCCTGCGCCCATCAGTGGCAGCGGGTGCCTACCTCGCAGGCGCGAAGGTCAATTACAAAACACCAATTATCTCCGTACCTAGACGTTTGCGCCTACTAGTTCATTGGTAGAAAATGATCCCCTTGGGGTGCCCAAACTACCTACAAATTATTGACACATTGAGAAAACTCACCCTGTAGAATCCAATGTCAAGGCCACTTATTGCTAAATGCAAGTTTATCTTATTGATAATGATAGTCATGGTGTGTTATTTAATCTTTGTTTAGCAAAAGCATTTACCTAACATTCTGAGTAAATTAAAAAAAAAAGCAAACTCAAACCATGACCAACACAAATTACCAGTTGTCGCAGACAATGTATGATTAAGTTAAAAGAATCGTCTCATGAAATCATATGACCAAGTCAGTGAATCGTCTCATTGAATCTGATGTCAATGTCAAACCTTGAATGCGCTACACTCACTCATCATATGGTTTTCTTTAAGGTTAGTACTATAGTAAACTCACAGCATTGCAATGAAGCCTTTTCCCAGAATCAGTGCCAAGAGTCAGCAAAGACTATTTATTTTGGCAAGATTAGCATCTGGTTTGTACTCATAGAATGTATTAATATATTTTCTAACTGTTATTGAGCAAAGCAAACAACTGAAAAATATAGTGTCTGAGAATATAAATGGAAATACACTCACAAAGGTTAAAAAGACCAAATCATTCTTGCAATTATCAAACACACTCCACTGACTAAAACATTTCCCCTGTAGTGGGGGAGGGGAGAGGGTGGACGGACGGACGAAACGCGTAATAATTGTCACTTTCATTTTCCGTATTTCACTGAGTTGACTCTCCGGAGGGGTTTCAATCATTCTAAAATATCGAAAAACTATGACCGTACTCACTTCTAAGCCCTTCTGCTCTTTAGTTTGTTTTATTTGCCAATGTTTAGACAGGTCCCGTATTTAAGAGTCGCGGCCGCAAGTATGAAAAATTGCTACGAGCTGCCAAGCACTGCCAACCTAACCACGCTAAGAACCTAATTCAAAAAGATGTTTTGAATATTTCAAACAATAGTAATCGTGAATATAAGATAAACTCCCCCTGGGGGAGATTTAGGAGCCTTCCGGTGCGAAATTTTGAAACTATTTGTGCGGTAGTTGCTGAGAAACGTGAGTGAGTTACGGACACACAGACAGACAGACGCACGACCAGTCACTTTTTGGTACCCCCAAACACGGCATGGGCTCGCTATCGCTCGCCAAAAATGTGTGTGCACGAGTTCAGCTGACACGTGAAATTTGGATGAACAATTTTCCTAGCAATAAAACCAAGGCAAATCCATTCTGTCTTCAGCTGATTTGACAAAGCTGGTCTACTCTCCATTTAAATACAGCTGTAGGTAATTTTGTCGAATCGTGGCGAACCTTGTCCAGTGTGGCTGCAGCTGCTTTTCCGCTCCGTGTCGGTCCAGGCTCTTCCAGTGCCGGCACACGGGGCGCCGCCACGCCGCCATTCATCATGCTGTCCGCCGCGGCGCGACAGCCGCAATCTGTAATTAGTGGCGCTGCTCGCTGATTGGCGCCTGTTTTCGCCAAAGCTGAATAGAAGGCGCGCGCCCATTGGCCGCCTGGCCCCCTCCCTCGAGAGCGCTTTCCACTCGCCCAGATAAATCATGCAACAAGTGGCGGCCGCCGCGGGCCGCGTCGCGGATTTCAGCGGGCAGGGCGTCGCGCTATTAGCACTGCTTCCTGCGCTCGCCGCTGTCTCCCTCGCACTCACGGGGCGGCCGGGAGGGACGCGAGAGAGACGGCGACGAAAGCATCAGCCTGCTGGCACTTGTCGATAGGGGTTGAGTTCAAACTCGCCGAGCTCAACCAAGACGCCGGCAGCGGTCGGCCAATCCACGCACGCGAACGTAGACACCACACACACTACGCACACAGTGGCACGCACACCATCGTCCCGCTCTGCTTCGCCCTGCCTCGTCCTAGTCGTGATAAAGCCATAATGGACACCTGCCTCGCGTTCTTTGCAACAACTATCCGACTTTTCCCTGCCGATGCACCGCCCAGATAGAGACGGCTCAAGCGAGCGCTCAAAATGACGGCCAAATTATGCAAATCACAGCGATAAATTACGTCATTTACGCAGATAACTAGGGACGCTTATTAAATTTGTTAATTTCATCGTGAAAAGCGCCGGTGAGATACTCGCGTTGAGGGAAAGCCTTCGCACACGGCCGGCCGGTCTGCAACGGGTTTCACCCGAACAGCGTATTTATTTGCCGACTTTTCGGAATGGTGACGGAATCGACTGGCCGGCCAGCCCCGCGGGGGGCCCCGCCGCCCCCAACGTGCCGCAAACGTACACACGGCGACCACCTAGGGCGACCGCCACCGCTTTGGCCCCGGGCAGCATCGGGCCGCCGAGCCGGCCGAGCAGACTCGGCACTTTGTCGGTCTTTGCAACGCGAGAACGCCGGCGGAAGGACGCGGTGCACGCACTGTCAGAAAACTCCGTAAAAATACGGAAATTTAACGGAGACTGTCCATTTTTTTTTAACGGAGATCTCCGGTTTTTTGAATTATGGATTTTCTCCGTAAAAATATGGAAGTTATGTATATAAATGGAATAGAAGCCTTACTTATCAAAAAGAACAGACTAATTCACCTTATCGATGGGTTGGGTGACCAACTGATGAGGTGTTCCAAGAGTACGCCTTCCCTACAGCGACCTAGCCTTTAGGTTTCCGTCCATTTATCCGATCCTAATGGCATGTGGTCAAGTGGATCTTCAATCAGTTTTTGAGTATATCACTTTCGTCTTAAAGGACACTGTTTGCATTAACATCAAAGGTGTAAGGAGGGAAGTAAACCGTTAAAATGCGTTTATTTCTGCAAAAATGCGGTTCATCTCCGTAAAAATACGGAAAATCTCCGTAAAAATATGGAAAATCTCCGTAAAAATATGGAAAATTTACGGAGCCCCCATTCCCAAAATTAGAGTAACTTTCTCCGTAAATTTACGGACTTTTTTTCTGACAGTGGGATGGCAAAAAGGCAGAATTTGGCGTCCACAAAACAACGCTCTTGGTACTCTATTTTTCAGCACGTGGTGCCAATCAATGGTACCGTTTTGAACTGAGGGCGTGTTTCAGGCAGCACCGCGCGCTTGAGTCAAGTCATGTTTCAGAGGCATGGGAGTACACAAGCTCTGACCTGTGTGGTCCCCCCAGCGCGCTGAGCGATCATTCCCCCGCATTCTTCGGGAAAGGCTGCGCGCTGCGACTTGACGCGCCGCAAGTGCTTTCGGGTTGTTGTTCGTCCCACAGCTGCGCGGCTGGCCCTGACTGCACGCCTTTTGTAATAAGATGTCGAACGGTGCAACTCGACCCTCACCAACACGGGGCTCCGTGATTCACTCGCCAGATATGCCCTCCGTGGCGTGTCGCAGTGCGGGGTGTGTTTTGATAAGACTGTGTGGGGCTACAATGACCATAAACGACCGAGTGTCTGCGTTACTCGAACGTCACCAGAAACCGGGCAAAACACTTCGCGCCAGCGATTCGGTATTTTGTCTGCGCGGCGCGCACTTCCGGCACGTGCGCGGGCCGCTGCCAAAGAGGG